GATAGGTGAATGCTGAATGATTAAACAAACTGTGTTACACCCATAGTGTGGAATATCACTCAGTAATATAAAGGAACAAACTAGAAATACCTGCAATAACTTGAATAAATCTCAAGGGCATTCTGCTGAGTTGGGTGGAGGAGGGAGCTAATCTTAGAAGGTCACAAGATGTGAGGACCAATTTATAAAACATTCCCCAAACGACAAAATCATAGAAATGGAGAACAGACTGATGGTTGCCAAGGATTAGGGATGGTGTGGGGAAAAGAAAGGGATGACCATAAAGGGGCTATATGAGAGAGATTTTTGTGGTGTTGAAATAGTTTGTATTTTGATTGTGGTAATGATTACAACAGCCTTCAGGGATAAGGTGACACACAATCACAGGCACATTTTATCTCAGTGTCAATGTCCTGGCTTTATCATTGTGCTCTATGTGGAATGTAACCAACAGTGGAGGCAACGTGGAGGCTCTATGAGACCTCTCTGTACTATCTTTGCCACTTCCTGTAAGTCTATATTCAAAATAAAAAGTTAAAAAAATAGGTGCCCAGGCCACATCCTAAACCTTGTAAATTAAAATATCTAGGGGAGGAACCTAGCCAACTGCATTTTTTTTTTAAATGCACGAGGTAATTTTAAAGTGTAGCTAGAGTTAAGCACCACCGGCAGCTCGTATTATTACCGAAACTACAAGCAGGTGGAACACCTGTAAGTCTGGTGGAAGATAAGGAAGGAGAAAACTAAATATACAAATCTATGTTAGGTCTCTTGAGGGTTTTATTCTCCTAATGTTAAAACCTAGTATTTAAGTGAATCCAAATAATGTGGATGGGATAATCAGTCATCCATTATGATACAGACCATTTTACACAAAAAAGGCCAGTCCCAATAGACTATTCTTTAGATTCTTAAGCATTTGGTATCGATGTTATAATTTTAAAATGCTAAAGAGCAATTACAATCACACTTAAACATGCAGCAATTTTAGAAAATCAATGTTTCACCGAGTTTCTCATTTTAGATGAGTAACAAAATGAGTTCAAATTTTTTATTTTATTGTGTTGACTAACACCAGCAGTGATCCTTGGGAAACATGTGAAAAGCAAGTATTCGTATTTTGACTACATATTCTAATGTATTCGTTATTTATATTAATGATCATCAACTATAATCTAGTAGACTCTCTGGATTTAACTGTTTAGGAAGTGAGTTGTAGACATATAGAAGCCAAGGATTATTTTGAGCCAATAAACAGTGACTTGACCCACCAAATGCTTTGTGTGGTTATTAATCATTCTATATCACCATCATCATAAGACACTGTGCATCTACTCAGCTGGGCCAGGGGATTAAAGGTTTAGGAAAGAGTCCTTCCTTGCCTTTAAAGGGTTTAAAGTCTGTTTGAGGATGGGTCCAAATACATAAAATGATGAATAACAAAGCGACGAACATGCTGAAATCTGGACTGACAGCAGAAAAGGGCCAAAGGGCTTGTTTTTACTGGAAGTATTTTTGCATAAGCTGGGAAGGGAGTTTGCATCTTCTGGACTCTTAGATCAGACAGATGAGCAGCTTCAACAAAGCAGATTTATGCTATCCACCAGGAGGGTTTTGCTTAGTTGTCAGTTGTGGACTTTCTTCCAAAAGTGCAGCTGTTTTGAAGCAAGAAATCTGGCACCAAAAAATAAATAAAGTGAAAATTTAGAATAAGAATTACCTCCCACGCAACTCTAATCAACAGCTATGTCTCCCTTTCCTCCACCTTCAAGATTTAAAGGTCTGGGTGGAAACTGGAGGTGGGGGGTGGGAATGAGTTATTTGCCTTGCCCCAGACCACCAATCTCCTCTGTGTGTGTCTCTCTCCAAACACGACCCTCACACACTCTCTATCCTAATTTACACTGCTACGACTTCCCAGATTTGTTTTACGTTCTGGAAGGATTTATCCATTTGGAAGCGTTCTTAAAAGTTGCTAACTGTCGCGAAGTTCGATTTGAAAGCAAAAGAAGGAATGACCGCGTTTGAACAGAGGAAGAGTGCAAATTCTTGTAAAGAAAGTTGTCTTGTGATTATGGGAGGTAATCAACAGCCACTCAGCCATTCTTCTCTTAAACAGCTGAGGTTTATCATTTTCGCTATTATGACAATGAATTTTTTCCTCCTTTCCTTTATGCCTTTTGGCAGGAGCCTCGACTCTGCAGGTGTTAGCGCTGCAAGGGCCGAACCCAACCGCCAGAATGTCTGCCGAGCCTAGCATGGGATGCTGCCCAGCAAAACAGCGCCCAGGGAGAGGGCGACTGAGGAAGAGAGCCTGTAAGCGCGCTTCAGAAGGGACTGGGACCAGAGCCCTGGAAAACTAGAGCGAGTGGATTCCCTGGCAGGGGGAACCCGCGGGAGCCTGGAAAAAAAACGAGAGGGAGAGAAAGAAACTCACCCCCGCGCTGTGAAGCCCGGCGCAGGCAAGCGAGTGAGCGCGCAGGCTGGCTGGGCTGCTCCAGCTGGAAGTCATTCTGCGGGCTGGCGTCTGCGTTGTCAGGGCGACCGCCCGGCCGGCGCCAGCGAAGGGG